GTTGAAGTCCACACATCTTCAAGTGGCCAAGGTTGAGAAACACTGATGTAGACAAATATCTAGACAAAGATTCAGAAAAAATAGTTATGCTTATGTTTCACTAAAATCAATGTGATAGGCTCACAGAACTCAGCTGAATGAGATACAAGGTCCGATAACTTTCTTACATCACTGAGATCACATTGTTTAAGCAAATACTTGAAGAAAATGAATTGCATTGAAATGAAGTGCTAATGGGCTTTACGGAGACTTAATGTATTTATTTAAATTTATTATAGATTAACCTAATTTGGATTGCTGTCTACTTCCTTCTTGGCACAGCACAAGGTAAAGCAATATATCATGCATTATATCATGCCTCAGAACAATTTCGTGTTTAAAATAGCTTAATAAGAAAGTAGATAATAATACGCAGCTGTACCAGCAAGTAAATACAGCTACTGAACATAATGTTGATCCATATACATTGTAGGGCTGTATATGCGTGCATTCCTAACTGTATATCATGTCATGATGTCATCTGTGTATGTGCGTGTGTATGATTGATTACTGTTTATGATTTGAATGGCAGAGCTCTTCAATTTTTAGAGACCTGAGATATTTTCTAGATTTGTGTTTGCTGAAAATGTTGTCTTTCCCCAACCATTATAGCCAAAGTTGATGGCATTTTCTTGAAGAGCATCAAATGAACATTGGTGTAGCTATGACTTAGGTCCATTATATTTTAAATTTCCAATGTTTCAGAATTTTTGCTTTTGCAATTAGCTGCTGACTTCTTATAAGTGTAATCAATCCTTCACCCTCTTCAAGTTTGTGGACTATATAGGTTGAGACATAAACATATTGGATCAGAGCCAAATTTTAGAGGAGCAGCATGATGATATAGGTAGTCCTTATTTAGCAACCACTATTGGTTTCCCTGACTTGGTTGTTAAATGAAAAGGTCACTAAGTGAAAATCATGTGACTGTGCTTGCAATTTTACTTCACCTTTCCTTTGCTTTATAGCATTAGAAGGATATGACCCCAAACAGCCAGGTGAGCCGAAATGGTGAGGAAGGTTTCCAGAACTCAACTCATGAGGAAGCTGGGTGAAAGGGCAACTCTTACAGCCCTTTTTCCCTACTCCCCCATCCTCGGTAGTGCTCATCCCAGTGCTGGGATAATTACCAAGAAGGATATTAAAGTTTGAATTTACATTCATTGTAGAGGAAGGGATTACAAGAAAGTAAGCAGCACACAATGGGGAATATGCATCAAAAGGAATGCACAGCACCAGCTGTTTGCTGCTTAGGAGGCAAACAGAAATCTTCAGAGGGGCCAGAGGGCTTTAATCAACTAATTAAAGTCATAGTGCTGAGCTTATTAACTTGCTGATAGCACTTTTTAGGGATACATTGCACTGCGGAGAAAAGCGGTTCAAACAAGAATAGCTTGTTTAAGCAATCTCTCCACATTGCAAGGGGGTAAAAAAAGAAAAAAAAAGCAGGTCAGGCACAGGAAAATGCAATACCATACTACAGGTAGTCCTCGCTTACTGACTGCCTTGTTTAATAACAGTTCAAAGTTACAATGGTGTAAAAAAAATAGCTTTGCGACCAATCCTTGCATTTACAACTGTTGCAGCATCCTATGGCCACATGATTGCCATTTGGGCACTTTGTAACCAGCGCGCATTTACAACCATTGCAGTGTCCTGTGGTCAAGTGATTACCAATTGTGACAAGGAGAGTTAACAGAGAAGGCGGAGGTAAAATCATAAGTCATGGTCATGTGATGTGTTGCTTAATGACTGTGATGCTTCACTTAACGACTGAAGGGGAAGTGAGGTTATAAACCGGTCACAATCACATGATGTTTTGCTTAATGGTGCTTAATGACAGAGTTGCCAGTCCCAATTGTGGTCGCTAAGCAAGGACTACTTGTAACTGACTCTAATGATGAATATGTGACTGAGAGAGACACTGCAAAGGTTGTAAATGTGTGCATTGGTCACAAAGTTACTTTTTCATCACCACTGTAATTGCAAACAGTCACTATCCAAGGTAGTTGCTAAATGAGGACTACCTGTAGTTGGTTCAATTTATCTGGAAGACAGTGTGTTGGGGAAGGCACATTTAAAATATTTAGATTGAGCTGTCCTAAAATTATCTGCAGAGATATTTATACTTACAAATGCTCACTGAAAGAATATGAATGAATCCAATTGTTTTCAGAACTTGCCTTGTGTATCCTCTAGCCAACGAAGTCTGTTATGAAACAATAGGCTGCTTTTCTGATAAACCCCCTTGGTCGGGAATACCTGGGAGACATCTGTTTGGCTTACCTGCATCTCCGGAGAGCATGAATATCTCTTTCTCACTTTTCACAAAAGAAACTGGAAATCTGTCACAAGTGAGACTATTATTGTTGTTGTTGTTATTGATGATGCTGCTGTTGCTGATTATGATTCATTTGTAATACATGCATACATCTTTTTTTTTCTTTCTTTCTATATCATCAAGAAACAGAGAAGGGTTTATTTTTCAGGCCCTGGCTAATTAGATACATAAAAATGCATATTGAATAAAGTATTTAACATTGTTAGTGGTAGATAAATGCAATTATAGATCTTATTATTTGGCCAGTAATTGTCTGAATTAGTATTAATCAATGCACCCAGTTACCTAAAATACAAAAATTGGCTAAGAATATTTTCAGTTCAGAATCAGAAACACAGTCAGTTTCCCAATAGATTGGCTGCAAGGTTTGACCCCTTATGATCTGATGGCTAAGGCAAAGCAGTGTTTTTCATCCTTTTCTTGCATCTGGATAACAGCAATGGAGTGACAGGCTTGTTCCATATGTCAGTCAGAGAGACTGTGAAGCTAATTGATAAATTGTCAATTGGAAGAGGTCAGAAACATCTGTTTGTAATGGAGTCTACAGCTCAAGATACAGTAGATGTAACCAAAAGAAAATATATGTTGCTTCAGATTTTAAGAGGCTTTTGGCAGCTGCCTAGTGTTGGGAAAGAATGGGGCAAGACATCTGAGCCCACTGATATCCATTTATTTGTTTATTTATAATAGAGATTAGTTAAATTAGGCTTTATGAGAATATTAGGACCCAAGAAAATGTGGCACATTTTTTGCTTTGAAAATCTTACAAATTTGAAAGAATTTGTTATATCATTATCTTTAAATTCCATGCAGAAAATATTATACAATAAAACATCAACTCTCCAAAATTCTCACTTCTCCCCATTGAGGAAAACTCGCTTTGTTATCCATGGATTTACAAGCACCGGAAAATATGGCTGGGTTGTGGAGCTGTGTTTGGTATGACATTTCCTTATTCTGTGGAAGATACTAGAAAATGAGGGGGAAACTTTAATATGCCCCTTTTGCCTAATAAATGTATGGTTTAAGTCATAGGTTGGCAACATAGAGTCCACGGGCATCAAGGGACTTGCTGATATTCCAAACAGGTCCTTTGCCCTCCAGTGTTTTTATTTGTTGTTTTAAAATAATCATATATATTTATAATACCACCCTTGAATCAGTTGTTGGGTTTTGTTTTTTATCTTCTCTGTAGCGCAAATGGAGTGTTTTTATTTTAATGAGTCATAAGATATCTGTAGCTATATCTTACAGATCAGTTGCTCCCTACTCATAAAGCACCATGATATTTATTATATGTGCTAATGTGCAGGAAATTGGTAGGTTAGCCAGATCTGCGTGGCTTGGGGCTGAATGACACATCCCTATGGAATTTAAGAACTCAAAAAAAGAACAATTTTTTAAAGCATCCATTCTGCTGGTATTAATCATCCAAATGTAATTTTTTAAATACATCACTTTGATACTACAGCTTCTGGTAAATGTGGAAGACATTAACTGTTTTGCTGTTGACTGGGAAGATGGAGCTAAATGCACTTACTTCATTGCTGGCAGCAATATCCGTGTTCTTGGAGCAGTGTTAGCTTATTTTATCAATACCATGATGGTAAGATTTTAAGTTAAATACATTATGAAACATCAAAGACCTTGATACTACCTACAGAAATGACACATTATTAATCCATTTACCAGTATATCTGTATCTATTGTACAAAGTAAATTTTAAAGTATTATAGATTTAAAAAATAAGAATATTTAGATCAAGCTGTAAACCTTTGTACACATGCACCTTTTCAGATTCTCATATGAAGTTGGTATGATCAAATTAGAATAAAATGGATGTTAATTTTTTAAATGTCGCTCTACAGTTTTACTTAGTGCAATTTTCTGCATTAATACTTCTCTTTTTTCTAAAAATTTGCTAGGCAACATTTAAGCACTAACATTTCTCAAGAATGTTTATATAAAATAATAAAGCAATACATAGTAGCAATAACATCAACACTCCAAGCCAAAATCCCAGTTCCAGGTGAAATCTGGAGCAAAACAATCATACACTTCCTTTAGAGGAATGTGTGACTTATTAAATTGGTTTGAGGGCTTTTTAAAAATTTTTTGATGATGACGCCTGTTGCATCTTAAGGAACTCTGTAAATGGGCCACTATAGGAAAGGCCAACCTAGCAATTCTCAAATGAGACAAGTGGGAAGGGCCTTTGCCCTTGATCTTTAAGTAAATCAAGTTGATTCTTGAAATTCTTATGAATTGCTACCAAGTTCCATTTGCAGCAATAATAACAATAACAATAATAATATTGATAAGTGGATAAAAATGCCAAATCCAGTCTAAACATCTGGCTGACCATGTAACCAGCTACAAAAATGTTATTGTTCCCATAATGTAGTGTAGAGATAATCAGGTATGCAATAAAAATTAAGCAATAATTAATAAACAAATTTTGAGATTCTATAAAATCAGGTTAATAGCTATTAAAAGTATTTGTTGCTGGAACATCTTCATGTAATGACAGTATGAAGGAATTATTTGTCATGCTCATCTGTGGCATTTCCATGTCTTTTGAAGCCTTATGGATTGAATATAATAGAAATAGTATTACTTCTTGAGAAACATTATTTCACACAATATAAAAAAGACTTAGTATTATTCTGAAATATTAACTTCCAGCCAGTAATCAAACACTTGAGCGCTGATTTACTTTCATATAAACAGTATATTACAAAGCCCCACTGAAAATATTCTAGATCTTATAAAGTATTTAATTCGGGAGTACTATACTGAGATTTCATATAAATTTAATAGTTGAAAATATTTGGTCAGAATATTCTGTTTAAACCATGGGTTCAAAGTCTGTGTAACAGGTAGCTGATGTATATTTTAAAGCTGAGAAGCTGCAGAGAACTGTGGTCAATGTAATCAACCTCATTGTGAGTCCTAAAAGTAGGTCAGTTTTATTATAACACATGCAAAATTCTGCTCCGGGTGCAAAATGTAAGAATGCTGTTTTACTTACTAATCATTTCCCCCTTTCTTGAATTACTAGAAAACCTATCAGTATTGTCCTTCCAACATCCACCTCATTGGCCATAGTCTTGGTGCTCATACTGCTGGAGAGGCAGGAAGACGACTTCAAGATGTTGGCAAAAACTCTCCAGGCGTTGGAAGAATAAGTGGTATGCTATCCAATGTTATCACACATTGCAATCTTGATTGAAAGAGAGGAAGGCTTGAAGTGGAACTCAATCAATCTGGGGAACTAAACCAGGTTAAAGGTAAAATAAGTTGTTCCTGATGAGCCTTAGTCTTCCTGTGACATGCATTAAGCATCCTGCTTAAGAAATGCTAATGTTTTCATAATCACATAATCCATTACTTTTATATACATATATAAGACAGCATTAATTGCAGCCAACATGTCCAACTTAAAAAGGCAGCATGCCATATTTATCTCCTTTTTTCTCTCCTAGTTTTAGGCAGGTTGGAGATTGTCCTCTTTCTACCCATTCCCATCCATCCAGTAAGCTCAGGAAAGAAGCCAGCAAGAGAGGCTAATAGCATCTCATTCTAATTTTCATTGAACAAATCAATTGGAAGAACAAGAAATTGGTGTAACATCTTGCTGTGCTGACACAAAAATGTGGACATTTCTAGCCATGCAGGAATATTGAGTTGGCCCTGGGCAACATACACATATCCTGTTATGCTGCACACCATTCCCTCTCCCTCTCCCTCTCCCTCTCCCTCTCCCTCTCCTTCTCCCTCCCTCTCCCTCTCTCTCCTTGCCTTTCTCTTATTTTGTCTGTTGTGTCAACACTACACAATCTGTACTGGCACTGTTTAATTTTGTTTGTTTGTTTTAATTTGGGAATGTTACAGAGCAAGTTGCAATTGCATCTGGCATTTTTCTTTTTTCTTTTTTTCCCCCCTAGATGGCTTCTAGAAAATTAAACAATGCTGAATATAGATGGTGCAAAATTTGGGTACCCTCCATGCTGAAGGGTGATAAACTGCAGTCAACTTGATCTACCAATATCACTGCAGCTATGATTTCAAAGTTCAGTAATATAATTCTCTGTACTTCTATCTGATTACTTTAACTGCATCAAGCACTGCTTACATTTGGAAATCATCATAGTTTTATCATAATCACATATAAAATATCAGCACATTTTGGTGATTTCACATCTTTTTAAATGGAATATTTAATGGAATTTGTCAAAATGCATTGCGTTTTATATACTTTTGTAGATTCATTATTACCAAGCTATTTGTAAGACCATCACATAGACCTGTATTTTAAGTCCAAAAGGCCAAAAAAACAAAAACAAAAAACCCCCCAATTCCTTGTGGGATTGTTTTCTCTCTCTATAGGTTTGGACCCAGCAGGATTTGGTTTTGAAGGATTCCCTGAGATGGTACGTCTGGATCCTTCTGATGCTAGATTTGTGGATGTGATACATACCAATGCTGCCCGATTTCCTTTAGGTAAATGGATAGACACAACTGAATTTTGTGACAGAAGCAATAACAGCGATCAATCATGTAACATATTCTGAATTTATTACAGGATATGGTATGCTTAGTGCCACTGGTGATATAGACTTTTATCCCAATGGTGGAAAGAATATGGTTGGATGTATTGATAAAGCTACACCAGAGACAGAACATGACAAGGAAGGCCTTCCTAGAGGTAACTCTGTCCTTATCTTCAGCATTTACATTCACACAATCTACTTGTCATAAAACTCTAATCCAGACATAAAACTCTAATCCTGTTAGGACTGGGTGGATGTATTGCTCTGTCCCCAGGATTGGGTGACAGGTTCTTTTGAATTTAGAAGCAACGAGCACACCAGTATGAATAATTAAAGACCTTATGCCCCTTCTGCTAATAAGGGAACTCCAAACAGATAACAGAGAGTAGACCCCTTTCAAAGCCACCGAATATGCAGCACCTTCCCAGTGAGGTCTCCATCTCATGGGGATTTCTGACCAGCTAATATGGACTCCAAACCATAATTAATCACACCTATTTTCAATGGCTTTATCTCACTTGGTTCTGTCAAGAACAAGGAGGAAAAGTTTACCTTATCTTGTTCTTGGAATGCTTTGCCTACTCCTGCCAATGACGAGACCATTCCAAGGTTAAGGAGTATTTTTTATATTAGGTGGCTTATAACAAAGATGAGAAAGATCATCCCCCTCTACATGGTATTCCTTACCAAGGACAGAACAAAGCAGATTAAATAAATGCTTAATTCTGTAATACATACTCAACCATTAAATGAGAGTATAACATTCTATGCACCCTGCACCTAAGGGAAAGAAGTACACACTGCTATCCAATCACTCCTTGTCAGTCTTCCAATAAAACCACCATCACTACTGGATATTCACACTTTAAAGGCTGGGCATCACTGCCAATTAGCTATAGTATTTATTTGAGGAAGAATGAAAACAAAGCAATTGACACAAATCCACAGCAAACTGGGATGAATATAATTTGAATCAATAATCTTCTAAAAATGAATAATCTTTTTGTGCACTCAGCCTGCACTCTTTAAAATATTTTTGACTGCCAAGGGACTCAGGAGATGAGCTATGAATCATCCAAGGAGTCAATGGTAGAAATGTTGACTATTCTGGGGGAGAGGGAATTATGTTTTATAGAAGCTTGAAGCCTATCACACCAATCTTATTTTATTTTCCATTGAAAATCAAACTGCTGTTACTCAGCAATTTGATAGCATCTTGGTGTGGCAATCTTGAGAGGCTCTGGGGGCCCAACAAAGGGGGAGAGAGAGCCCCATGATGCAGCCTATAATTTCCACCAAACAAATTGTCTCTAGCTTCTACCCAGTTCCCAACCAGTAGCTACCATAATATCCATTATGTTTCCTTCTCCCACTAATGTGTTCATGCTCACAATAATGTACTTATTTGATTTATATTCCACCTTCTCTCCATGAACTCAAGGTGCTGTACACATCAGGCCCTTTGCTACTTTTATCCTCACAACAATAACCCTAACTACTTGAACAATTAGTAAAGTTCAAGTAGGCTAGGCTGAAAGACAGTAAACGAGAAGGAGCTTGATGTTTTAATAAAAACAAAGTCATTCGCAGGAGACAAAGCAGAACAAACTTACATTGTGCTTAAAGTTTTGCGTATGTTTTCATCCTGAATAGAATCAGGCTTCTATTATGTTACATGCAAATATGGAGTTATTAAGCTTTCTTTTGGCAGAGGTTCATTCTGTTGGAAACTGCCATCACTCACGAAGTCATGAGTACTACAGATACAGCATTCTCTACCCCAGTGGGTTCCTTGCCTATCCCTGTGAATCATACAAATCTTTTCAAGCGGTAAGCAAGCTATTCTATCCTGGTTCAATCCAATCAGCTTCTTTAAATAGGTACATTCAAAGTATAAGCATGGCAATATATGGGGAACATTTGTTCTCCTGCCACCAAACAAAATGTATTAGATCATTAGTAAAGTTCAATATGGCTAAAGAACAAATCCACGTTTTTAAGGAAAAACAGATCAGTAAACTCTGAGCTTTTGTTTTCAGTAGCAGGCCCCATATATGCAAGATACTACAAAGTGTATCTTTGTACAATACATTTTTATCACCGTCAAATAACCACCAGTTCCAGGTCTGAGTAAGAGACTCCTCACTGAGTTACTCTCCTCCTCCATAGCATTATCTCCTTGCAACTGCTGTTTCTTCTACTCACTTCCAGAGAGCTGCACTAAGTAAAGTGTGCTTGCTGCAAAAGTAAAAGGATTAGCAACAGGCCAAGGAGAATCTGGTGGACAGCAGTGGATATCCTGTCAAAAGGTGGGTGTTGGCAGGTGCCACCACCACCTTCACATATCCTGGATCTAGTATAAAACAAACCAGCTTTCTAGCACCTCACATTTTAGAAATTAAACCTTCATCTTAATCTTTCACTGTTGGTTGGGTGGTTAGTGGGTAGCAGGGTGGGGGGACGGGGGCATTAATAATAGCTGATAAAGCCAAAACAAACAAGACAGCCAACAGAACTGAAATAATCACATCTGTTATTTGAAGTTTGAAGCACTAAGACAGGATAGCAGTGGATACTTGAATGTACAATAAAGGTAGTCCTCAACTTATGATCACAATAGGGTCTGGAAAATGTGTTGTTAAGCAGTGCAGTCATTAAGAAAGGTGACACATGACCACACCCAATTTTATGACATTTTTTGCTGCAATTGTTAAGCAAATCATGCAGTCATTAAATGAATCACACAGTTCCCCATTGATTTTGCTTGTCTGAAGCTGGCTGAGAAGGTCAAAAATGGTGATCACGTGACCCTAGGATGTTGCAACCATTGTAAATACATTCCAGTTGCGAAGCGCCCGAATTTTGATCATGTAACCGTGAGGGACACTGCGATGGTCATAAGCACGAGGATCGGTCATAAGTCACTTTTTTCAGCACCATCATAACTTTGAACGGTTGCTAAACAAATGGTCATAAGTTGAGGACTACCTGTAAAGTTTGCAGTGGAAACAGTGAAAAGCCTTTGGAACCAATCCAATTTTTTATCCTAGGGAAATTGCTTTCCATGTTCCAGGCAAGGTTGCCCAGTAATGGGTCACTATGCTGATCAATCCCGTGATAAACTGAAGAAAAGCAATCAAACCTACTATCTAAACACAGGACCTCAGGAGCCCTTCACCAGTGAGTGCATAAATTGAAGTATGTGTGGTATACTCATGTATGAGTGAATCTGCAAATTTAGGACTGGCTTTGGCTGTCAGTACAATAGCCATGCTTCTGAAATTTAAAGCTGCGTATGGAGCTATGACTTTCCAGTTATTTTCTATGTGTAGCCAGGGAATGGAATGATCATGCACGCTCATGCTGACAGGATAGCGAGCAATGGGACATGTTTTCTTACCTGGATGTCTTCATAGAAATCTCACTTCTGTATTTGGTGTTGTAAGGAATATATGACTAAATTCACGGCCAATCTCTTTTGACCAATCTGGAAATTTTAACTACAGTAAATGATTAAAGATCACACTGCGGCAATCGCTTATCCTGCCTGGTCATATATACAAAGATAGCATATATATATATATATATATTGTAGGCTGCAGTTCTAAGACCGTAAACTTGGAAAGGCAAACTGCCAAGATTTATCTTCCAAGAAAAATGTTGATCCTATTAGCACTTCAAGAACAAGCAATTAATCTTTTTATGTACAGGGATGAGTGTATCTTGTTTATGGAAAAGCGTACAGAAAGAAAACAAACGAAAATAGTTAATATCTTGCCTGTATGAGGTCCTTAATAGCTTGTCTGTGAAGGATTCACTTTTACCTTTTTCAAAAGAAACAGCTTCCCTTAGGAACACTCTTCTTGGTGGCCTTTGTGGAAACGTCATCTGATGCCAACATTGCATCTTTTCAATATTGGAGAACACCTCATTATTTCCCAAGGCAGATGTGATTTGAGTTCAGGGGAAAAGAATATTTAGGTTTTATAATGTTTTTAATGGTGCCAATATCCGATTTTTGTTTAAATTTTGCAGAAATCCGCTTTTGAATGAAGGCACGATGTTTATTTTTAAAAAAGAATAAACATTATATATTTGAATATTACATATTTACATTCTTGTTTTCATATCCCAACCCATTTTATAGTTGGGGCTGAGGGATGGTTTTAAATTGAGTTTGTGTGCTTAGGGTTACCATCAGTCTGTTAACAGGACAAAAGTAGGGAACATCTTCTATAACTATATTCCCTCTAAGGTAATTTGTTAGATGGCACGTGCTGGTGGTGGGCTGAAGAAATTAAAGCCCTGTAAATATTAATATTTATTGCAATGCCTTAAGGTTCTTTAAAATTTCAAGCTTTTAAATGAACATTTTTTCCTATTTCTTATTTTAATTTCATTAACAAAAAGATGAATTTCCTTGCCTAATTGTAATTCATCTAACTGCTGCATTTATAACATATGTACTCTATTACCTAGGTTGGCGTTATAATATATCTGTCAAACTAAATGGAATCAAACGTGCAAAAGGAGAAATAAATATAGTTTTCCACAGTAAAGATGGAGGTATAAAGGAATATCAGATTGTGAGGTACATTTCATGCTTTCTTGAAGTGGCAGATTTTCAGTTTTGCTCATTTTAGGAATAAATTTATTTATTTATTTATTTATTTATTTATTTATTTGTCATATTTATATAGCCACCCATCTCACACAAGGTGACTCTGGGCAGCGTACAACAATTAAAAAATAAATACATAAAAACAATTACACATAAAAAACTGTAAAGAAAAACCCACACAAAATAGGAGGGGATAAAAATTAATAAGGGAGCCACCGTAAAATCTCCCCAGTCCCCTGGGAGCCCCAGGGAATTATATCAATTATATCAATAATCCAATTAATAGTTTTATATATCATGTATAAGACGCTTTCAAAGACTTCTACACATTCTAACTCCTAATCCAGAGGTTAGGTCTGTTTTCTAAAAGAACATAGTTAAAAGGTGATAACATACATCATATATGATGTAAAAAATGAAAAAGGTGGAAAATGAAGAGGTTAGGCAATGCTGCCCTTTTTTCAAGAATGAAATTATGTAGTTTGTAATTTCTGCTTTAATACTCCACAAAAGGGGCTACAGAATCAGCTTTCAGGTTGGAGAGAATGGAATGGAACAGCTTTCATGGTGAACTGTGCTGTCTTGTAAGTAGAAAAACACTTGTTTTAGTCCAAGGAGCACTTAATTGTGTATCAGAATTAATAGGCTGCTCCTGTACCTCTTTCATATATAATTTTTTAAAAATTACATTATACACATAAAACTAATACAAACTACAAAACATAAAAATATTTAAAAATCAGAAAAAGAAGAAAAAAGAAAAGAAACAAAAGGTCACCTCCCCCTTCTCCCCAGCAAGTATAGATAATTTTAACAACTTATCACCATCTCTTAAAATACAACCAACCATTTCTTCATCCCATATCCCATCCCACTCTCTATAAACAGACTTTTAAAGCTCCATCGCCTAATCAGCAAAAGTCTATTAAGGATTATCAGAAATAACAACGTATCTATTACGAACTAAATCTAATAAACCCACTTAAAATCCTTCCTTTTACATTTATATCTCATTTTCTATCTTTAAAGAAAACCCCCAAACCTCATCTTTCAAACCTAGTCAGTAAAAATCCAATAAAAATTACCAGAAATATCTATTACGAACTAAATCTAATAAACCCACTTAAAATCCTTCCTTTTACATTTATATCTCATTTTCTATCTTTAAAGAAAACCCCCAAACCTCATCTTTCAAACCTAGTCAGTAAAAATCCAATAAAAATTACCAGAAATAACAGCATTACTTTAACACTATTTTAGTCTTAATAAAATAAACTTAAACTGCAACAAATGAACTCTCTTTCCCATATCTCATCTCTTATAGATAAACAAAACCATTAAAACATCATCTTTGGGTCCTAGTCAGCAAAAATCCATTAAAAATTATCAGAGATAACAACCTGTCTATTTTAACCTTAATCATATAAACCAGTTTTGTATTCTTTCCCCTTTCTAGCAACAATCTTTAGTCATTTCAGGTAATATCCTAACATCTGCTTTCTTTTCATGTTCTCTTTGTCTCTTCTCACAAAATCACACAAGTCCCTTTTGTAAATTCAGTATAAAAAGATTATCCACATCGCTTTTCTGGTTTAGTATTGTATGTCTTTTTCAGCCTGTTTTGTTTGTGTATCGAGTATTTCACCTTTTTGTATATCCAATATTTCAACTTTTTCATCTCCTTATTATAGCCTGTCATTTTTAAATCCACACTTAAATCAATTTCAGTTTTCTCTGATGAAACTTGTTCTGTGACAAAATCTAGCTTATCTATAATAGCAGATAACTTTAAAATTAATTTCTGAACCCAATATTCGTAAATCTCTCTCAATAAATCCATTGATGCATTTATTTCCTTCTGGTGCCTCTAGTGTTCATCCTTCAATGTTATCTTATCAGGTTTTTTTCCCCAAAATGTATAAATATAGACAGTTTCCCACAGGAAAGATTCTTACAGTTAATTTCAAAGTCTTAATTCAAGTCCATCTGAACCCTTAATACATTTAAAACTTTCTAAAATTGGCACTGTAGTCACCCTTTTGCTGTATATTCCAAAATATGTTTTGCAAATCCTTAAACTCATAGTTAAAACTTGTTTCTTAAAGGATTGAAGAAAACTTATCCAGTGAATATAATAAAACTTGCCATTACAAAGGTTTAAAAAGATTTGTAAAAGTTTAAAAATAAGGTTTAAAAAGCAGTAAAAAAAAATTAAATCCAAAGTGATTAAGAGATGAGGCTCAGTTGAACCTTGAGCCCATATAGGCTACATTGACAGCTATGAGTTTGATGGAAATCCGCAACTCCCAGCTGTTCATAAGCTGGCTGCAAAAACCTAGGTTCCTACCATCTGATCATGAAAAACAGTTGTCCAGAGTATGTGTGGGCAATCTCAAGATCTCTCCTTTCTCCGGAGAGATTTTGGCTGTCTAGATCCAGCATCCTGCCACTGTTTTCACCCACAATGTCATCCCTCTTTGCCAGGGACATCAATTCACCATATCCTCACCAGAAGTATTGGTCCTGTAGCTCTTTGATTTGTATTTAGTTTTAGGGAATTCCAAGTATCACATGATTACCCAATTGTCATTGTACATCCAGTAATTCTGTAGAGACTAGACTTGCATCTGCCTGTCCTTTCTTCAGCTGGTTTTCTCACCATGGAAAACCTATTAAATAAGTAAGGTTATAGTAGCTGGAGAATATCTCTGAACAATAGCAGTGAGAACTGTCTGTTTGGAAGCATCTTCAGTTCAAAAGATTCATTGAATTACTTCTATTAGGTATTTTGAGCATGGGTTACACCTAGTAATTGGGAACAAGGTGAAATATCACAAAATAACGAGTAAGCTTTCAAATTCTTTAATAAGTGAAGGAAAAAGGAAAAAAGAAAAATGGTACAAAAATATATAGCTATCATGGTTCCATAACATGCTTTTATTAAAATGATAACATGGTCTATACTGCTCTAAAAATGTAATGAACAATAGAGTATTACAACTACTTCATCAGTTGTGTAATGTGACTAGAAAGTTTAGCAGTCATCTGTATAGTGGAGAAGGAAAAGTTTTACATTGCGGAATAACAACATAATAAAATATTAAGAAAAACTGTTTTAGATCAAATCAGAGTTGCCCCAAGTAAGCAAATGAATATGTTAGTATAATAGTAAAAAACATCAAAATAAACATCAAAAACTAATTTTCTGCAAATGTTTGCAGTGAAGAATTACAGGTTTTATACACAAGTTCCCAGAAGATTTTACAATCCCTGTATGTCCTTTGTTTGTTTGTTTGTTTTCTGCCTTGAGTCAGTGCTGATTCCTGTTGTGCTGATTTTCAGAAGTGGTTTGCCATTGCCTTCTTCTTCCTATGGCTGAGAGAGAGTGCCTGCCCCAGAGTCACCCAGCTAGCTTTGTGCTTAAGGTGGGACTAGAACTGAGACTCCCAGTTTCTAGCCTGGTACCTTAACCACCACATAAAAGTTTTAAAGAGAACATAAAAAATAACACAAACTAATCGAGTATAAAGAAAATAAAGAAAGAGAGAAAGAAAGAAAAAAGAAAAAAGAAAAAAAACAGTGCAGAAAGAAAGAGTAAAAAGAAATAGACAGAAGCCTCCAATTTCCTTTGAAGCAAATATAAATATGATTACTCTTTAAGGTAAACAGCAAACATTCCTACACCAGGCTAGTCCCTTTAACTGGCTTAGTGAAAAATTATGCCAGAACTCTTTCATCAAAAGTAAAAATGATAAAAATAAAAATAGAAAAATAAGACTGTCCCCTTATCCATTTTAAAACTTTCTTGCATCTTCTCTTAATTAGGTTTTTTGCAAAGAATTCTTGAATCTTTAAATCAAAGCCTCTCTTTCTTGTTTTCTTTATAATCTCGAAAGAAGGTTTAACTCACCACAAGGAGTCTTATCTTTGCTTCAAAGGAAATCCCTCTTCATCTGTAAATTAATTACTTCCTGAAGTGGTTAAGAAGCAGGCTTTAAAGTCATATTGGCTCCACCACAGTTAGGAGCATATATGGAATTCCAGGGCTCCCAGCAACTTAACTCCTGTTTCTTTTCCATTTCTGCAGTTTCTGTAGTTAACTCAGAAAGAACCACTGTCTGGAGCACACATGGTTTATCTCACAACCTCCCTTTGATCCAGGGAGATTACACGAGCCAGAATCTGCCTCCCAGATGGCATTTTCAGCTGCAGTGGCTCTCCGTGCCTCAGAGAGTGTCAGCCAACCATTCCCCCCTGGAAGCACTATTCACACTGCTATTGTAGATTTAGTAGATTATTTTTAATAACCTCTGTTGTTCATCCAACTTGACATAGGATTGAGATGAATTGTGAATGAGCAACATTATTTTCACAGAACAGTTGACTGTGAAGTTGGCAAACCCAAATCTTCAAACGTTGTACTGATGCTCTGTAATTTCTTCATTCACATATTTACAGGGGCAACCTTAAACAAGAACAAATCTATTCAAAGCTCACAGATGTAGAAATTAATCCAGAAAGTGTTTCAAGAATTGAGTTTGTTTGGCACAAGCAATTTTTCACTTTCTTTTGGGCTAAACTAGGAGCTGAAAAACTAAATCTTATCCGTGGGCAGGATGGGAAAAAGTAAGTATAACAATTCTTATCCTTAATTTTCATGGTTTATATCAAGTTCTGTTTGATACTTCAGGAAGTAATCCTTTTTATCTGAGCAAGGATAGGAGGTGAGCAAGGATGGATTTGAACATACTGAAGTCCACTGATTGTGGCAGGAGGGAGCTATTGATCTGTTGTTCTGAACTGAGAGAGTGAATACATAAGCATGTACTACATGCCCCCTTGCAGTGAGACTTCTTTTCAATTTGTTTGGCTGGTTTTGTTCAAGGGTGGGTTATGACAATTATAAACACATCAGTCAATAAATGAATAAGCAATAAAAATTAGAAGCAGCAACACTGAAACAAAACAAAATGAGAACAACCTCTATGTCAGTGTTTCTCAACCTTGGCAACTTGAAGATGTGTGGACTTCAACTCCCAGAATTGCTGGCTGGGGAAT